ACTGCTTCGACAGAATTTCCTAATATCCCATTTTTATTAAAGCTATTCACTCAATTAATTGGATCAACGTCGATTGAATTCAAAAATGAAGTCAAGAAGGCTGAAGAGAGGGAAGACATAAAAAAGATAAGAACAGATACCCAAGAGAGAAAAATTCAAAAAAAGCAATGTTTATAACGTATCTTGTATAACATATGTTTACCAAATTCGAGTGGTAATTATTCGGGGTTAGTGTCGAATTATTTATTTGAAGGGACTAATTCACTCATTTATCACTCAATTTCGTTATGGCTAAACATCCACTAATTCTATGTTGATTCCAATGGTCATATTTAGAATTATGAGGACTAAAAGTAGTTTCTCAAAATTTTCTAAATAAAAAAAATTTCGTGAAAAATACAAACGAAAGGGCAGAAACTGGGAGTCGAAGACGAAGGGCGTGGAAAATAAGGCTGCCAAAGTTATATTTTGATGGTCCGTCGACATGGCTAAGAAGATCAGTCCTAATGAGAATCGATTCAAGTTGAACACATCAAAGAAGATAATTGTTGCTTTCAAGTTTTACCGAAACAAAGTTGGTTATGTTTGTGAGGGGAAGAGTTGAAGACCGAGTAGAAGAAGTCATGTTTGTGGGTTTAAAAAAAAAGAGGTTTCAAAATTTTATGGCTCTAATACGATGAAAGATTGAAAGACTAATGTGTTTGGATAACTTACGTGATGATGCATAAAATTGAATTTATGTACAATCAATAATCGTGTGTATAATGCAAGAAAATAAATTGACTAATCAATAAAGCAATTAATAAATGAGACAAAGATTAGCTCAACAAAGACAACACACAGATGTATAGTGGTTTGGTCAGGGCGACCTCCACTCCGAAGGCAACGACGGTGGTCGGAAAACTTTATTAATAAAGTAGTTGGTGAGGTAGACAGCAAGGGTAAGCTCTAGGAGAGGTTGGGTAGCTATGAGAGAAATAGCTTGTGCAAGGGTGTGTAGAGCGATGTGTCCCTCATGTGTAGAGGACTTACAATTTATAGACATGGAGACTTAGTTGAGGCGGTGGCATGAAATTTAGGTTACTAGCCTTTCGGGGAGGATAGTTACAATTGGGATAGGTACAATTAAAGATAATATTGATCTCTGAGAGTGGTTATCCCAATAATTACTCTCCACGTGTGTTGATCTTTTGGGCCTCATAAATTTTGGATTCCTTGAACTTTGTACTGGATCAAATTCATGAGCTGCTTTGTAGGTAATTTGGAAATTGTGGCTATCCCAGTCAAATTTGGGCTCTTCATTGCCCATTATTGGGTTTTCGCAATGTAGTCCGAATGTCAAGCCCTTCTTCTCAACAACACATGGACTTTTATTTTGTATTAATTTCACATGAATGTTGTTGGGTGGAAATGGGTTTATTGCCTCAGATGTCGCAGCGATGGCACACTAGAACGCTATATAGCTTGTCTCGCTGCGAAGGGATTCACTCAACAACCTGGAATGGGCTACACTGAAACCTTTAGTTTTGTTGTGATGTCGGCTACTATTCGCACCGCTCTTAGCTTGGTCGTCTCCAACCACTGGCTCATTCGTCAACTATTGTTCACAATGCGTTTCTTTAATGGTGTTTTTACTGAAGAAGTATACATGCAACAACGACCTGACTTTGTTAATTCTTCAAATCCATCGCATGTTTGTCATCTGCACAAAGGTATACATGGCCTTCATCAAGCACCTTGAGCTTGGTTTCAAAGATTCTGTTCCATTCCCCTCATCATTGGCTTTAGTCGTAGTCAGGCTGATTCATCAATGTTTGTCATTTGGACAACCAAATTACATTGGTTCGTCTTTTGTACGTTGACGATATTATCTTAACTGGTGATCAACCATCAATGATCATTTTTTTCCCATTCTCACCCAGGACGGGATTTCGCTATGAAGGATCTACATGATCTTCATTTTTTTTGGGTATTGAAGCTACTAGAACTGATTATGGCCTTAATGCAAAACAAGTATACACTTGATTTATTGCGAAGCGTTGGTATGATTGTATGCAAACCATGTGCCACTCCTATTTCCTCGGGTTTTAAAATGTCTGAAATTGATGTCCTAATACACATTGTTCAATTACTGGATTTTGTATTTTTCTAGGACCGAATCTTGTATCATGGGCCTCTAAGAAACAACTAACTGTTTCTAGACCTAACAATGAGGCAAAATATTAAACCTTGGCAGTCAAACACTTTCATATTTGATTTGAGACCTTCATCTTTAACTACATCACCCCATGATTCTTCACTACAACAATCTTAGTGCAACAAACATGACAACAAATTCAGTTCTTCATGCTCGCACAAAACACATTGAAGTTGACTACCATTTTGTACGAGATCTTATCAGCAAGGGTGCCCTTCAAGTCCAATTCTTCGAGCTGATTCTCAGCTCGCCGACATTTGTATATAAGGATTGCTTACTCTAATCTTTTTCCACCATATATACAAACTAATACTGGTTTTGTAGGGGAGTAATGGATGATAACGACATATTGTGACTAATATATGTACAATAGGATTTGAAGTAATCTAGAATTCTATGCTATCATGTATAGAATATTAGATTTGTTGTTATTTGTAACTCTATAGGATAATTGTTGTAAGTACAACTTATACTATAAATACAACTACTCCAACCCAATAGTGGGTAAGTCATCCAAACACATTAGTCTTTCATTCTTTCAGTAGAAAAATGAATAACTCACAGTAGACAAATTAAATCACTGAAACATAAGTGAGGACTGAGGAGTATCTGTTTGTCGATGTCATTTTTTTCCTTTGGCCACTACCTTGGAAAACTCGCAATGGCCGAAGATGATAGGATTCTCATGTTGATGTTTAGATGCTTAAAAAAAAATCCTATCTAAAAGCCTATTAGATTGGTACCTTAGTTACACTATGTGACAATTCTTATGTGGTGTAATCGTTACACCCAATATTTACTTGTCAATTAGACCATGGATTTGGATAATTTTCTGGGGGAATAGCCCAAGTTTGTCTCATTGACTAGTGAAAGCCTCTAAAAAGAAAAAATAATCTTGGATGGCCCTGTTGGTTGCAAACCGCATCACTCCTCATCTTAGTTCCTCTGTCTAGTAATAATGTGTATTTTTGAACAAAAGCCACATTTTGACAGCCAATTAAGCTATTTGTTTTCGATAGACAGTAGAACATCGTGTTTCATTTTCTTGTCTGTTCTTGTATCCTTATACGGTTATAACATATCATGCGTCCCTTTCAACCCCAGCCTTGTAAATGGATCATGTCGATTAATTTATATTTCAGTTTATTTATTCCTGTGTATAGTTAGATTTGTGTAATATCAAATCCGTGTCATTTCCTTACCAAAAATATATATATATATATATATATCATTTATAAATTGTGTATAAGTCATGTATAACAACTTTGTATCGTGTTTAATTAGATTCATATCAACTCTTTTACTAGCAGTCCACTCTATGTGAAGTATGAGATATATATATTGTCATCTAGATTTTTTAGATTTTAATTCTTCATGATTTCTCTCTTTTATCTCTACCACTTAGAAATTAGATAAATGATAAATAATTATCCAAAGTTCTAGGGTGATAAGCTTATTTTTTTTTGAATAGATTCAAATTAAAGAAGATTAGTTAGTGGAGAGCAGACGAGTACTTAAAATGAATAAATAGTAAATTGTGATTGGAGGTTTTTTAATTAATAATTTAGAAATCTAAGAAATTAAAAAAGTAAGAGGGAAGACTTCTTAAAACTTTTCTCTAAAATAGAATTTGTTATATACATATAAATAGATTTGACGTAATTAATGGGTGTATATGTTTACCATCAAAACCCATTAAAATTCGATCCACAACTCATTAATTTGGTATCTAGTTATCACCTCGTGTCTAAACGTGATAGGTCTTATACACACCAATACCTCCACTTTCCCAAATCAAAACCTAGTTACCCATGAAAAATAAAAATAAAAAATCAAAGGCCAAATTGTAAATCATCAAGCTGATATTAGTTACAATCCCAGATCAGATTCTATACCATATCGTATCGGCATATGTAGATACGTCTAAATATTCATACATATGAAGAGAAGGCGTGGATTCAGTTATACGCATAGGGATTGAGAGAGAAGAAGAAGCGGTGACAGTAGCAAATGGACTAGTTCAGCGAGAAAGTCTTTGAAAAGAGTTCCATTCAATCTCTGTATATGTCTTTATTTCACTTTCTAATTTTCATTACAAAACATTTCGCATACTTACATTTATAAGCTGTGTTTGAATCTAAATTTAAGTGATTGGTTTGAAAACAGAAGCGGAAGATTAAAAAAATGGGTAGGGCCTCCATCCTCTGGTACTACCCGAAAGCTTCTCAAAATCTCCATTAAAGCTAACAACTAGCCTGAGTCAGTTCAGATTCCTCAAAAAGTGTGCAGATGCTGGAAAGATTGAAGCTTGATAGACCCTTGGTATGTTCAATTCAATGTCTACAATTCCTATTGGAAGTGGCAGCCTCAGGAGATGCATGGAATTTGCACACATTCCTTTCCCTCCTCGTCCTCCTTCCCCTTCCTTTTTTTTTAATTGTTATTATATCATTGTTAGATAAACAATTATGAAAAATTAGGGTGATAAAATAACTATAAAAGGTAAGGATAGTAAAACTATGTATTTAAAAAAAATAAATTAGAGGCTGATTTTTTTAGAAAATTTGAACGTGTGGTCATTAATCGCTTTCTGCCTAATTTCCTCCCCTTCTTTGTCCACCATGAGTCTCCTTATCACTCTCTCAATTTTTCCTCTCTCCAAAACATCATCCAATTCCAGGCCAACTTTCCAAACATGACTCAAGTACCTTGCATTCACCTTTTGGTCTCCAAAACATGGCATACAGATCATTGGAACCCCCTCAAAAATACTTTCTAAAGTTGAATTCCAACCACAATTGCTCTAGAAACCTCCCACTGCACAATGTGCCAACACCTCCTTTTGGGGTGCCCATTTAATGATGCAACCTCTTTCTCCAACTCCCTCTTCAAAACCTTTCGGCAATATGTCAACCCATTCTGTTCCAGGAATCGAGTCAGATCGAACCACCCACAGGGATGATTTGTCACTATTGGCTAGACCCCACGCTATTTCGGTTAGGTCTTTTTTGTCCATGGTTGCCAAGCTCCCCAATCTTACATAAATAACTGAACGAAGAGCTTGCTTGTCCATCCATTGAATGCCATTGGTGTCCTCTTCTACCAAGCTAGTGGATGTGAGGGAAGCCAATTTGTGCAAAGGGCCTATTGAGAAGGATGGAACTTGATAATGTTTCTGAAGCTGTGAAAGCTCTGTGTGCTCCAAAAAGTCCATAGTGTTCCAGATGATGGCAGAAGCTCTTAAATTGCATACATGTGCAATCAGTTTTAGTGCCTCTTCCAAGGTACAAAATTTGGTAAGGGGTAGATCCTGAAACCTAAGGGGATGAAATCCTAGCACCTATTCCCTTGATATAGAATTTGTAATATAGAGTGGTAGCATTGTGTATTAGTGGAATCTAGTCGCAACTCTGTACACTAGAAATATCTTATTAGTCGAATCTTGAAACTCAGGATGCATAATAACCTGTACTATTAGGAAAAAAGTTAAAAACTTTGGGTGGATGCACTACATCCCATTGCAAAAAATGAGAGTCGAGGGTCTAGATAGATAGAGGGTTGGAATGTCACCCAAAGGTGGGGGGAGGCACGTGATCATGATCAGGTACTTTGATGCATATACCTTTGACATAGTCATGAATAGGTCAATTTGTGATGCCCCAAAATTTGGGGGTCTTTTGTTAGTCCGTTGATCACCCATCAACCTGCGGAATTACCATGATTATTGCCTATTCCGGCATCACGTCTATCACATCCCTGTAACCGGGATTACAACCCACATGAGGATCGTGTCGACCTTCCGGAATGTGTGTTAAACCTTCCAGAAAAAGTTGCATACTGGATTCCTTAATTTTAGAAGAATGTGAAGACCTTCCGGAAGGTTAGAATCGACATTCCTGAAAGTTTCACCCACTGTTCGACAATTTTTCCTTGTTTGTCCAAACCTTCTTGAAGATTTTGTCTAGACCTTCCGGAAGGTTTTACCAAGAATTTTCTGTTTCACCTATTTTTCATTTCTAATTCATTCCAAACCTTTTTACAAACATCCCAAACATGTGAAGTATTGTTTTTCACATAATACTTGATACATATCAGTTTTATTACAATTAATTCCATATGATTACAAGCCCATTTATACAATTGCATGCTAAAAATGGAATTTTACAAAAGTTTACAAAAACTAGTTTTCAAAAGCCACAAATTGGCTTTTCTTCATCGTTGAGGCTCCGAATGTGAGTCATCCACCTATACGAACTCCGCACCTGAAATGTTTCCCGTATATGGTGAATTAACGTCCAGTAGAATGTTTCCTACAGAGGCTATTTCCCAACCTAAGTGCACATGCAATGTTCACATGCAACATTTTTCAACAACAATCATTCCAACCAAGATTTAAGCAAGTCAAAGTTGGAATCTACATGTCATGCCATAAATGAAATGATACCCATTCATGTAATTTACCCGAGCCCTTCCCGGCTCCACAACACATGCAATGCCAATGTGTATACACCGAGCCTTTCTAGCTCCGGACGTTTACCTTCACCCATGCTATGCAGTGAGTATTAACACCGGGCTTTTCAAGCTCCCGCCATTTGTGTTACACACACAATGACTACTTAAAATCTCCGGGTCTTTCTTGGGGTGTGTATTTATGTACTTACACCAACGACCATCCAATCGATACGGAATTCATGGACTTCCACCAACGGTTCCGCGTACACCGACACACTTATGGGCTTTTATACCAACAGAAGTGTGTATCCGAAATACCGGGCCTCTCACCCGAGATACCGGGCCTCTCACCCGAGAGATAGTCTAGCCCTTCTTGCTAACCCAAATCCAATTATTTTTTATGCAATTGTGCGACTCAGCCGAATATTCAATCCAACTTTTCCGAGCCCACCTATCATCCATCTACGTGGTGTTTGATGCCAACCATGCATCCACACCCATAAATTTGCGATGTCTTCATACGTATGCAATGTAATGCATCATTGTCATTTCAATGTCATGCCCACATGTAATGAATGTCATATGAGCAACTTTATCACATTTATACATAAATCATGCATATCATTACCAATTTCATCACAATGTCAATATATCAATGAACATATATCAACATTCATTTCCAATAATAATTCACAAGCATGTTATTTCCTCATATATATACCAATAACACATTTTGTTCCCAAGGCATAATTTAAGCACATAGCATGCCCACATAATGTCAAGTTCCATGGAATTACACAAGTAATTATCACATACCAATTCTAACCTAGGAATCTGATTGAAATTAGATCAATTTCCCATACCCAATTCACCAAATCATTTAATTTCATCCATTTCACATCCATAGACAAGTGATATATATATCTATTAACCTACCCATCACATAAAACACCCTAGGTTGTAAAATAAACCCAAGTAGGAAGGAACCCTACCTTTTGAAGCGTAACTCACTTGGTGGAACCTCCAAGAATCCCAATCAAGCCCAAAACCCTTGATTTTTCCCAAGCTCGTTTTTGGAACTTCGGTAAAAACCCTCCTTTTTGGTGTAGTCGCGTGGCCCATGACAAGGAGGTCGACTTTTACTCTTGGCCCGAGTTGATTTGAAGCCCGTGGATTCATAGATCGTAGAGAGAAGTAGATTCATTTCCCTCTTTTCTCTATCCGCAGCGGCTGAGCAATTGTGGGGAAGAAAATCTGATTTTCTTCCCGTTTTTATAGTCCCCCAATGCTTGGTCTACAACTAGCCACACAATTCTCTTTTTTTCGGGTCCGTTTTTGTCTTGAAATGATTAAATTTTGTGCCGGTTCAAGTTCAAATTAATTTTATTTTAATTTGCCTTAAATTATTTTTCATCTTTCAAAGTTTTATTAAAAATCTCATTTTTGGGTCACTAAAGACTCAACTGGCTCGTAAAACGTAAAATTCGACTATTTCGAAATTTGTTGAAATTTGACATGGTAACTCAATTTCGTGAGACGAATCCAACGATGAGGTCCGTTTCATCATCTGAGTTCTAGAAAAATTCAAGTTTACAACCCGTACCGTGACTACAATTTACCGTTTTGCCCTTTTTGTAAAAAGTTTAAATTCACCGGGCTTTACACAATTTGGGCATGATGTCAAGATTCTCATTATTGTTTTGAATTGGCATTGAGGACATAATTTTTGTCAATGTTATCTATGAAACTTGTGTTGGTCCCACAAATTTTGGGATAGGACTTTTTTGAGTGGTTAGGTTGATTTTATCTATACAACTTGCTCTTTAGATAGTTGTGCATTCTAATTGTATCAAAAGTGAAGCAGACAAAAGGGAAGAACAAGAGATCTACAACAATTTTGTTCATTAATTTCTTGGCATTTCACTACTTTTGTTGCCTCATAAGTATTGTTTGTTTTCCACCAAAATTATTTGGGTTTGTAAAGTATTTGACTGCATTCATCTTCTACCTTTTTTATCTTCACAACATCTCACATTACCCAGAAATTGTTCCCCTTACAGCCTCGCTCAACCATATTGTACTAGCTAGTTTTAGCTTTGTAAGTGTATTATTCACCAGAAAGTTCATAGGCTCTTGTACTTTATTTTTAAGTGTGAATAGAGTTTAATCAATTTTGTGTTATGTAATTTCTTTGTAATTTAACCAATGATTAATGTTTTTTCAGCTGCTATCCTTCTTTAGTTCATTTTCTGGATTAAATACTGTCAATTTACAAATATCTCTTTAGAGTGACACTGCAGTGAATACCTTGTAAAGGAAGGTGACCTTGTGCGCCAAGCTGAAGAATGCATGGTAAGCTACAAAATTTGAAGGACATCTAGTGTTCAAGATGATGCTTGGCAATTTCAAATTATTAGCCACAGATTCAGCAAAGTACATGATCCAATCGAAGATGATGCAGGTGACTTGTTCATGTGGCTCCTCTTTCTCCATCTTTTGAGCCAAGTATTCTTGGAGTGGCACCTTGCAGTTGTTGTTAACAACCACTATAACATCATATAGATTCCCGAAGTCACGTTCAAATATGTTGTCCGATAAGAGCAGGGAAACGAATTCAAGATGGTTAGATGGATTAAGAGAGTTGAATTTTGCGTGTGCCACTGTAATGGAGAAGCCCCTGGAGTGATGTTTCCCAACTAAAGCATTGGAGTCAAGTGTCCCTGCCACGGAGTGGGGACTAGCACCACTCGCTCATAGCTCTTAGTTGCTTGTTTTTCCATCTCCTTCTCTCTCTCTGATCCTTTGTGGTAAGTAGAAAAATGGTTGCATTTACTTCAGCCAATTTCGGGGTGTGATTCATAATTTCCAAGTACTGGGACCTTAGAAGTTGTCAAGTCGACAATAAGTTTTCTGTCTAGGAAAGAAAAAGAAAAATCAAAAGGAAAAAATATATTTTTATTGAGGAAAATGTAATGTTTTGGGGGTTTATCATTGGCCTCAAATGGAAAACTCACTCTCACTCCAAAACAAGTCAATAGTTAAGGCAAGGGAATGAGGGCATTTGCTGGTTTGTTTTTAGTTTCATAGTGGGGTTTGATATTGACATCAAATGACAAACCCATGACAAAAGAATTCTCAATCACTAAACCATAGTTGATGAGTGTTTATTTGTTTGTTTATAGTTGGACTTACCTCCTAATGATCTAGGTTTTGGCTAATATTGTTTTCTAATTTGGCCATGAGTGCTATGGTACACAAGTACATGCCATGACCAGGATGGGAGGATAATAATATTCCCTTGTCCACATCTATATTCTTTTGTTGTGCAATACTTTTACTATGTGAGTTATTTACTGATGTACATCTTTTTTTTAAACAATTTTACCAATTTACGGTAGTTTTGAACTTATTACCAATTTATAACACTTTTTGAAAGTGGAGTCAACAAATTTGCTTTCACTTATAAAGAAGAGTCAAAAATTTGCTCTCACTTATAAAACAGAGTCAAAAAATCTGCTTTTGAAGACACTTTATCAGAATTTTAAAAAGCGGCTTTGTTGAATCCATTTTCATATCTAAAACACTTTTTTGAAATTATATTCAACAAATCCGCTTTTAAACTTACGGGACTTTTTAAAAGCATATTTGTTAAATCCGCTTTTATTAAAAATGAATTCAACAAATACACTTTTTTAAATGACCTAAACCTCCAAAATAAGGGTCTTCTTAAAAGTGACTTTGTTGAATCTTCTTTCTTATAAAAGCGGATTCAACAAATCCGCTTTTAAATGACCTAAACTTACCAAAATGCGGGCCTTCTTAAAAGCAGATTTGTTTAATCCGCTTTTATGAATTCGTTTTTATGATAAAACAGGTTCAATAATTACACTTTCTATAAAAACGTGTTTAACATTAAATTTATTTTTAGTATAAAACATTAAAAATAGTTTCGAACCCGAAATTGGTACACAAACTGAAACCATTTGTGAAAAAAAAAAGCCAAATACTTGTCAAACTAATGTACTGAGACCAATGAATAAAAAACCTAGATCTAAGAAAAAACCTTCAAAATCAAGAATCCCTCAATGCATGTGTTGCTTTTGAGTGGAGACTTTATTCAAATTGTTTGGTATAATTGTAAAATTGTGAGTATGATTTCAGGTGGAAACAAAACACATATTTGCAAAGTTTGGCATGTAGGACTGTATGTGTTGCTCATGGAGAAGGAGAGGTTGCCTTGTTTGGGATGTCCAATTTTTTCTTAGCCAAAGAGACTTTATTTATTTATCTCAAATAGAAATACAAGATTTTGTTTCATACAACATGAAACGGACATACAACAAAATATTTCTAATGATGACCATGTTCCCATCAACATAGTGGTTTGTCACGTACGCATAGAGTAGTAGGAAGAAATTTTTCAAAATCATAATCACTTGATTCTTCAAAATCAGAAAATTTATTGGTAGAAGCTAGTAATGGATCGTATATTATTGCATTAATAGCCTTAGTAGATCTGAATATTCAATCTTTACCTTTTTGATAAGGTGGAATTGACATACATGTTGTTGCATCTAATCATTCTCAAGTTCAAGTCTTATAATGATATCATCGTAGTTATTTGTATACCATTCAATGTACATTTCAGCTGAACGTGCTTTGAGCATTTGTAATCCTTGCCAACTACAATACACTTCAAGCTCATAGAACTTGAAATAAGATTTCAACCACCTTGGTCCCTGTAGGTGATAATAGAACTCTAGAGGTAAAACAATGATTGCAGGTCCAATCATCACATGACCGACTTCTGTTACAAGGTTACGAATGTTGATTGGCTCATTGCCAAAGTAACACAAGTTTCCATTCCACATTACACCACTAGGATCTGTATAGTTATCGGGTTCTGGTGAACTGAATGACAATGTAATTTAATGTTGGTTTGCACCACAATGTTGCCTTTGCTTGCTTGAGTACGACTCATCGTTTGTTTGGTTTGAAGACCCAAATGATACTCTTCTTAACATTTTAGTGTAGTGTTTACACTGTGAAAAAATGCATATATATACACAAAAGTAATTATTGGACATAACAATGTTCAAAAATTTTAAAAACTTACTGGAAGCAATGAGATGGGTAGTAACTTATTACGTTGAAAAGACATTGATGAGAGAAAAATGACATTGACTACTTAAACTAACAAGTATAGTCAATTCAATGGGTAATACTCACATAGTAGAATAAGATTAAAGACTGACTAGGCCAGGATATGATATTGCTAACACTGAGAAAGTAGAGAGTGTGTTGTTTGGGACACAGTATGTAGTCATACTTATTTAATTCATCAGTTTGGAATCACATAGTTTAATATGACTGATATGGCCTAAAATTTAGTACACAGTGTGTAGTCCATTGAATAGGCAGTACTCATAGTGTGGTGTAACTCACTAAGATTGGCCATATCGTTCAGTGATTAGTCAATTCACTATTTATTGTCACACAGTCATGTTTCATGGCGCATCTGAGAACCATAATTCCAGTCTGCAGATATTGACTTAGTGTACACAATCACATTGCCTCTTCTCTAGGATTTTTGGCACAGCTAGCAAAACAATGACCACTACTACATCATCATTCAGTATTAGTCAATTCACCATCTGTTATCACACATCCATGTTTCAGTGTGCATCTGAAGGCCATAATTCCATGCTACATAAATTAAATTATTGTGCACGATCACATTAGCTCAACTCCAACATTTTTGCCACAATTGGCAAAACAGTGACCACTACTGACACTCTGCTACAATTGGAACATGCTTTGTTTTGTATTCCAGTTGAAAAAAATCGTATGATAATATGGTTAAATCGGTATAACCTTTGTTGCATTGCAAGCAACCGTGCTAAAGAAGGTTTGCTAGAAGAAGCACATTTTATGCTTGTAGTTGAGTGGAGAAGCAAGATGCATTTATGATGTTGAAATGTTAGACAAAGAAGATTTCCCATGGTGTCAAATAAATTGATCAATAACTCGTATGTGGGTTTATCCTCCCTACTGTTGTACTATACATGCATTGTTGTAGTAATGTGCATCAATAACAGTAGTAGTGTATATGTACTTTCATTTTCAACTTAAATAACATATATATTTTTTTGTCATATGTTACCAAAAGTATTTAAGTAGAGTTGAATGCACACCATAACAATCAAAACAATATAATAGTCTCAATTGAAAAAAATTGTAGTATGAAATGGTGGTATAGAAACTGTAAATATTAAGTTTACACGTACATTTCAAAATATTTGGGCAGAGTTTCCCCTAAAAAATTGACCCCACCAAAATCGCTTTAACCTGGATATAAAATATCACCACCACAACAACCACAAACATATCCACAACCATAACTACAACTACAACCAAAACACAACAACAACCACCACCGCCACTATTACAATCAATCTAGTACTACTAAAGTTACATAGAAAACAATAAAACTACTCTATTACATACATATGAATAAAGTCATAAAATGATAAAACAAGAAGGCTTCTTCCTCAGTCATTTTAGATGGTGTGCCTCTAACACCGACGGCTTTGTAATGCCCCAAAATTCACCTCGGACGACATTACTAATTAAACCATTCACATCATGAGAGCAACTAACAAAATTCATAAAAAGGTAAATTTCATTCATCACACATAACATTTACAACATCACCCAAAAGAATATGTCAAACCATGACATCTACATTCAAAAAGAGTATGTCAAACTATGGTAATTACAACTCAAAATCAAACTTAAAACTTGCAGCGGAATAAATAACATAACATCTATCCATTGTATAAAAATGCATCTCCTAGTCTAGGACATGGAGAGATCAATTCTAGACATCCCCCTCGGGATCCACGCTTCCATCCAATGGCGCTTCCCAAGCTACATGTTCATCACCTCCGAGTTCTTCCTCCATACCGAAATCTGAGAATAAATATTGTTTGTAGGGGGTGCTCTGTAGCAACATTCTCCCAAACTCGAACAAGGTTTAGAAAACATGTAAAACAAGTCGGTCTCATTTCGCAAATATCATATACTAATTTTTGAAAGAAAACAAGAACATTTTAATAGATCTCAAGTTTACACAATAACAATAAATTAAGTGAATTAGTAACGCCAAATTACAAATAACAAATCATTTTCAACCATAAACCATTTCCCACAAGTTCTTGTAGAATCTCATACTTCCACAAGCTCTTGTAGAAAACCGTTTCTGGTATAATAAACCATAAACCAACAACTTGTATTCGTATCTCAGGTATGATGTATGATTCGACTGAATAAACACATTGAGAATATCCTGGCCTACACACACACACCCAAATCTTCGCAAGGATATCCAACATTTAGGAAGGACGTATACCAACTCCTGGCAGTGACGAATCCAACCCAGGAATAGTATACTAACCCTCAGCCACGATACCTGTGAACGAATAGTGATTTGGTCCTCGCAAGACATCAAACCCACCACGAGTGATAGGGAACCTTCAAACTCACACGGAGTAAGAAACACATCTAACCCACTCTACGATATCCGGTCAACTGCCACCCATGGTCATCCAAACATCCACAAGAGATACAATTCCCAACAAATTTCTCAAATGACAATTAAATTCAAAATTTCCAAATTTCATATCCAAATCCCTATTTATTTTTTCCCAATGGAAACAATTTAAGAAAAATAAGCAAGAGATCCTTAAACATATAATCTTTAGTATTTAATCAAGCACTAGAGTTTTGAAATCAAGAGTAATTGAATCATTAAGAAAAAAATCCATCTTTCTCAAAAACTAGGGTTCTCATGGCTATCAAACCATAAATACTTTCAAAAATATGGTGATATTTGTAAGAACTTCAAGAAATAAGTATTTCATAGCATATCTAAGGTTTAGAAGCAAAACATACATATATATATAAACCCTAACCTCAATGAACAAGAATGAAAGAAAATCCTTACCTTGGTGTTCTTGAAAGAAAACTAGGACTTTGATCCAATCTAATGTGCAAATTCCCTTTGATCTTGTATTTTTTCCTCTCTTTCTTCCTCTCTAAGGTTTCCTAGGGTTTAAAATGTTGAAATGAGACTAATGGAGGTGTCATTATGTATGAAAAGTGGACCCCAGATCGCGACTTTAAATTTCTGGAACTTACAGAGTGTGCCGGTACGCAGTACCGGTACGATAAACTCTCTGGACAGTAGCGTACCGGTACGGTAACTTTCGGGCGTACCGGTACGCAGTACCGATACGGTCTGTTCAGTTTTGCCTGTTTCCTTTGTTTTTCATTTCCAATTCATTCCAAACTCTTCCAAAACCAACACAAACTTATACAACATAAATTTGTTCATCAAATATAGTTGGTACAAGTTCTATTACAAATGATTTCATATATTTACCTGGGTTTTACCATATTAGCATTTTGAAAAGAAAAGATTACTTGCTATATAAAGATGAAAGTGTGGGGGTTTACAAACACTTCAATTCTCTCTATCAACTCCAGTATTTTCATTGACTCTATCTACATTGCTTGTGTCCCAAGCACATTCATTCCTTTCTTCCACATTTGTATCAACCTAGTTAGCAAAAACCTCACGATAATCTAGCAAATATGGTTGCTTATTATTTCCTGTACTATATACATTAGTTACTTGATTGTCCTCTAAACCATTCAAATCTTCATTATCGATCTCCTCAATAATAACAGAATGTCTAATCTCAGTATCTACATCATTTCCTACCCCCTCCTCATCGAATACATCAAATTGTGACGTATGTTCAATGTATACATCAGCAACTATGTTGGGATATGGGGAATTAAATGTTGTGAACACTTGAGTATCAGTATATAGGAAAACAAACCATTATCCAAATTCTTGCCTGACATCTAATAATGGTACCTAAGAATCTCTTCTTCGTATCCAAACCCCCTCACCATCTCATCAAGTTCCAGTAAAGACATGATGTCTGGATGTCTATGGTGGAAAAAGTTGACCCTACCCCAAACATATTTCTTATGATGCTTCTCTCGAAACACCCTATCATGATGCAATTTCAGTGTAAAATATTTGGAATTTGGGCTCTACAAAGCATAAACAGGACTATGAAATTATCAAATATTGTGACCACTTCACCAACATATTGTCAAATTTCTAAATACATTCAGACTAATATGGGGATCACATGCATATAAAACAACAAACTCGTATAAAATAATCAGAGATTTCATGCAAGAACTACTTCGTCTACGTGCAATTCATGGAAAAACCATAATATCACCACAACATGATTTTGAAAAAAATGGGAAAACATATCATGACATTTTTTTGAGTAAAATTAATGTGTCAAAAAGTGAATAATAGATCTATTCAAGGTTTAATGGTACTTGATTTACCGTATTCTGGATTTTAGTCGTCAGCTTCGTATTGTTGACAATTGAATCAGCCAACCATTACAGAAGTGTTTGAAACCCTAATGAGGTGAGAAACAACCCATGATTTCAGCCTAAGCAGTTGTATATCCAAAATCCCCAAATTCAATGTTGAACCCTAGTTAGGAAGACCAACGATTTGGCTTCCTCACGTGGCTGAAGAGGTTAAACGGGCAGGAAGGAATATAAAATGACTGTATTGCCCTTCTAACTTCATCACATGCTGCTCATATGCTCTTTTTTGTCACTCTTTTGAACGGCAATTAGGGGTAAGGATGAAAGTCAGTCAATGNGGGATTCATCATGACAGGAGCTTTTGCTCATGGAGCTATATTTTTCATTAGAGATTACAATCCGGAACAAAATGAGGATAATGTATTGGCAAGAATGTTAGACCATAAAGAAGCTATCATATCTCATTTAAGTTGGGCCAGCCTCTTTCTAGGGTTCCATACCTTGGGACTTTATGTTCATAATGATGTCATGCTTGCCTTTGGTACTCCGGAGAAACAAATCTTGATCGAACCTATATTTGCTCAATGGATACAATCTGCTCATGGTAAAACTTCATATGGGTTCGATGTACTTTTATCTTCAACGAATGGACCGGCATTCAACGCGGGTCGAAGCATATGGTTGCCCGGTTGGTTAAATGCTGTTAATGAGAATAGTAATTCACTATTCTTAACAATAGGTCCTGGAGACTTTTTGGTTCATCATGCTATTGCTCTGGGTTTACATACAACTACATTGATCTTAGTAAAAGGTGCTTTAGATGCACGTGGTTCCAAGTTAATGCCAGATAAAAAGGATTTCGGTTATAGTTTTCCGTGCGATGGCCCGGGACGAGGCGGTACTTGTGATATTTCGGCTTGGGACGCATTTTATTTGGCAGTTTTTTGGATGTTAAATACCATTGGATGGGTTACTTTTTATTGGCATTGGAAGCACATTACATTATGGCAGGGTAACGTTTCACAGTTTAATGAATCTTCCACTTATTTGATGGGCTGGTTACGAGATTATTTATGGTTTAACATATTGGATGAAATTAGAACTTCGGGAGTGAAAGTGTAACATCTGACAAACTTTAAGGACTAATGGTCCAATTTACCCTAACATTTTTTAGCTAAGACACATTTAAGAGTATAATTTTTTTTTTAAAAAAAAAATTTTAGGACATTGATGAGTAACCAATAATGAGAGGGTTTGGGTGGAGAGTTGATCGTAGGAGCGGGGCATAGTGTGGTGATAGAAAAAAAATTATAAATTTCTTGCATTGGAGGATGCTAATTTAATTTTAAGATAATGTCGTATTGATTGAAAATGTGATTAAAAATAAGGATTTAATGATATGGTGGCGTTTTTTATTTCAGTTTTATTCATTCAAAGTTCAACAGTCATTATAAATATCCTAATTTTTCTAAGGGTTAATCTCAACTTGCACCCTAAAAGATCATTCAAATTTTAATTTATACTCTTAAAGTTTAAAAATATCAATTTATACCCTAAAAGATGTAAATAAGTATCAATGTGCACCTGAAATTAAAATTTGGGTTAATTATAAATTGCATCCCTCAAAATTTAAATATTTCACATTTATGATCCAAAAAGAATTCCATCTATTAGTGCTCGTTAAATAGTTCTCAATTGTATCGTAACATAACATTTTTGTGTCGTGTTCGAGTCAATAAAAAATATTTTTATGTCGAGTCAATTGTTTTGTGTCTTGTATTTCACATTTACGACAATTCATATAATACTATTTAATATTTTTAAAATAAAAAAAATACTAATTTGTAGTCTTTATCAGTCTTATGGGGTTAATTTCAATTTGTTTCATCAGTCTTTAAGTTTTTTTCTTTGAATTTTCTTGCTGTTTCAGAGCTACACTAATTATGGTTGCCAGCAATAATGGACTACCCACACCGACGGCTAAGTAACGTGTAATTAATTAGCTTTCCTGGGTATGACTCTGTACAGATATGTATTGATCTGGTTTTCCAAGAATTAATTCGTTTTTGTTTGATATTGATTGCAAGGTTTATTAACTTTGCTTAGGTATCTGGAATTTGGTAAGTTGGACTTTTTGTGTGTGTGTTTTTTTTTCTTTGGGAGCTTATCTTGAATACTATTGGTTATTATCCTGCAATTAATGGGTATGGCAGAGAAGAAGATGGGGTATATGGTTGAATTGTTTAACTAGTAAGGTCTTCTTCCTTGTGAATTTTGCAACCTCCTCTAAGTTTTTTTTTTTGTGTCCAGACATTCAGATATGGGTAATCATTCCCTTAATGGAAGATGAATTTTATCAAGGTAATCATTCCCTCTAGTCTATGTAACTTTGTCTCTCCCACTTTATATTGGTAGAGAACCACTTCAATTACAATCTGTCTATTGTAGATCTATGGAAGGTAATCTAGAATTGAAGGAGGTGAGGAAATCTAAAACTTAAAGAGAGCCCAGCCCTTTGTACCAAATAAACTTAACTGGATCATACCTTGTCCACAGAGTTTGCGCTTATAATGAGCTTTAGGAGAGGTAAATCAATTGATTCCCAAAATTTAATACTCGCAAATTTCCAATTACAAGATTGACTAGCTAAAGAATTAATATCAAAAGATCCCAAATGTTGAACCAATTTTCACATAACATCTAATTAATGTTCTGCTTCTTGAACAGCTTTTGCATATTAACTTCATACAGCTTTGTTCTTCTTTTTTTTTCTTTCCCTACAATGCTCCAAACATTAATGCATGGCTATAATATTATTTTATTTTCAATTATTTAAGTTAATTATGTTGCTCTTATTGAAATTCTAAATAGATTTACTCTTCTTTAACAATACCATTTCTTGGATTGAATAAACTGAATTCAGTTGAGCTCCATCATCTTCATCAAGAGACCTCAAGTGCTTATTGGCTTGATCAAGCAGTATATCGGAATGATAGGCTGAATTCTTGTAAGTTATTCAAGGAACTATATGAAGAACCTCCTTTCTACACACAAGCATCAATCTTGTCCTTCATATCAATCGCTCTTTGCCTCATTTCATCCCCTTCTTTCCCCACCATAAGTCTTCTTATAGCCCTCTCGAGGTTCCCCCTCTCCAAATCATTCTCTAATTCTAGGCCTACCTTCCATATGTAACTCAGGTACCTTGTATTCACCTTTTGGTCTGCAAAATAGGGCTTACATATCATAGGAACCCCCTCAGAAATACTTTCCAAGGTTGAATTCCAACCACAGTGGCTCCAAAACCCTCCCACTGCACCATGTGCCAACACCTCCTTTTGGGGTCCCCATTTAACTATGCATCCTCTTTCTCCAAATTTTTCTTCAAAACCTTCCGACAGGAGCTCAGTAAGTTCTGAGCCACGAACTGAGCCAGGTCGAATCACCCACAAGAAAGGTTGGCCACTGTTGGCTAGACCCCAAGCCATTTCGGTTAGATCTTTATTGTCCATGATTGACAAGCTACCGAAGCTTACATAGATAACTGATCGAGGAGCTTGCTTGTCAAGCCATTCAATGCAATTGGTGTCCTCTTTTACAAAGCTAGTGGGTGAGGCTGAAGCCAGTTTGTGCAAAGGGCTTATCGAAAAGAATGGAGCTTGATAATGTTGTCGGAGCTTTGACACCGCTGAATGCTCAAGGTAGTCCACTATGTTGCAAATTATGGCCGAAGAAGTTGTTAAATTGCTGAGAAGTTGAATTAGTTTTCCTGAATTTTCAGAGGTTTTTTAAAACCAGACAAGGGTAAATCCTTAAACCTGAGAGGATGAAGTCCTGGCACCAGGTCCTGTGCCTTAGAATCTGCATTACCATGTGATAGCATCAAGTATAAGTAAAATTTTAACTATAATTATGTGGGAAAGGAATTGGTATTAGTTGAGGAGATTCTGAACTGATCAGCTCCAACTCAATACTCAAAGTAAGGACTTTACTCTAGTTTGGTGATATATTGCTTGCCTTATTATTCTTCTTTTACCAAACAATTTATTCTGCATTTGTTAGCCATTCAGCAACATTCATCTTCTACCTTCCTTGCCTTCACAAAATCTCACATAAAACAGTAATTATTCCCCTTGCTTGATCAAATTCAGTTATCATTATCTAAATTGGTGCACCATTCCCCTGAAAGTTCTAAGACTTTCTTTCTTCCTATATTTTGTTATTAGCATGAATAGTGTTTTAATCAGCAATACATTTCTTTAATTTGTTTTTGATGCGACCTATGATTAATGTTGTTCCTAACTGTCAATCCTTTTTTTTAGTAGAGTCTTTTCCCTTTGGTTTCAAGCATCTCTTCAGGGTGACAATTTCTATATGTACCTTGAAAGGAGAGATGACCTTCTGCGTGGAGCCGAAGAATATAATGGTAAGCTAGCAAGTTGAGAGCACAACTGGTGCGGAACAGTATACTTGGAAGGTTCAGATGACTAGCCACAGCTTTGGAAAAGTACATGAGTGAATCGTAGACGATGCAACTGACCTGTTCGTTTGGCGCCTTTTTTTCCACCATTTGGGCCAAGTTTTCTTCGAGTGGTGCTTTGCAGTTATTGTTCATTGCTAATAATGAATCCAATGGGTTCTTGAATGAGGTCTCATGTTCAGTTAAGTTGTCTGAGATGGGTAGAAAGATGAATTCAGGATGGTTTGAAGGCTTGGGAGAATTGAATTCTGTGTGTGCGACGATGATGGAGAAACCCCTGGAGTGAAGTATGGTACCCAATTGAAGCATCGGAGTCATGTGCCCTTGCAATGGAGTCGGGACTAACACCACCACTCGTCCATGCCTTTGTGTTTCTTGATTCTTCATCTCTTTCTGTCTCTCTCTCTCTGTCTCTCTCTCTCTCACACACACAGAGGTGTGCAGAATACAAAATCAGGAAGTGTGGCATCTTGCATTGTTGATGTTAATTATTTTTGGAGTCTTAATAGTGCGGAGGGCATGTTGGAGGGCATCTTTTACTTAGACTTGTCAAATTTCAAAATCATTCCCTCCATCAAATTTCTCCACTTCAAACTTAGAATTCAAAATTTTTGAAAATTTGGTCAACATGACTTTAAAACTTGATCTGGTGAGTAAAAAATAAAAAATATTGGTGCAGACAATTATTATTCCTTGAATAGTACTATATCAATAGTACCTATAATAGTACCAATGAATATTAATCGTATACCATACTAACGAATAATACCGTATGAACAATGCTCATATATAAATAGTAACTAGAATTGGTACTGGCTCTGTTACCAATTTGTTGAAAAAATTACCCTAGGAATCAAATTTAGACCAATATTGACACTCATACTCAAGTGAAAAATAAAAAAATAATTACATAAGGCAAAACAATTTACCTGTTTCGGCAATTGCCTATGTCCACGACAACAATGATATGATATTTTCACTATTTGGAGTAAATAGAGGGCGTAAGAACAATTACTTCATACATTACAAGTACTCACTCCAACAAAATTAGTTCACTCTGATATTTCACTGTATCTCTCATAGCCCACATGTACCTAACCTATGCCCAACACCTCTACTACTTATTTTGTCAAAATGATGGGCCCCCTATGTCCATAAAGCAGCCTTGCCATAACTTCCTTACCGAAAGGTTCTGACCACATTAAATTCTTTGTGTAAGGCCACAAAGTCAATAGAATATTACCAACTAATAATAAAACCTCAAGTGAGCAAGGTGAATCCCACTTGAGTTTATATGGACGAAGAATGAAAAGTTATTTGCTTACATGAAAAATTAGTTATTAATTTTTGTAAAGTCTATTTGCATTTTGATTTTAATATTATTAACAGGTTATACTACATTACATTGTCATGTAGTATCATTGTTATAATGAATATTTTCTCGATATGAGGACATGGTAGCCAGTGGTGTCGTTAGGTTTACGAGGTGAAGTGGTGGTGATATGAGGATGAAGTGGCTGGTGGTGTTGTTAAGGTGGTTGTTGGCAGTGTTTGGTTTGAGGAAAGATAGATAATAATAGACTTGGTAGAAATTTTGTGTGCGTGTCAGTGTCAATTTGTGTATAAAGTATGAATGAGTAAATATAGGTACTAGTTAAGGGTAAATAAGTAAATTTCTAACTTCAGTTAATGGTATTATCAGATAAAACGTGACAACTAGTGTTAGTGTAATTTCAGATAATTGAGAAGGTGTTCCTAAAATTATGCCAATCTACTCGAAAAGTGTCAGTGTTCATATTCTAGTGTTGTACCAAGTTTTAATATGCGGGATTAGGTGCACGCGAATTATATTTTCTAGGTTTACTTGCAGCATTGGTCATCAAAGTTTGTGTTTCATTTTATTTTGCTCTTCCACATTACAATTATATTATATTTATTTATAATATATTAAATTTATTTTTAAGTGGCCCCATGTATAATGCCGTCTAAATTTTTAATGGTTTTTGCTTGTGTACTTTTCACTTGCTCCCAAATGAGGAATATATTGGACAAATCATTTCATACTTGACCCAAAAATTATGGTAGTGATCCTCAAAATATACTATCCGTCTCATTTTGATCCACCAACATTTTAATAGTGTCACATTAGTCCCTAATGTATTCAAAATGCTATTAAAGTGGTCCCCCACATAATATTGTCTAAATTTTTAACGGTTTCTCCCCCCATGTGTTGGTCATGTGCCCTTAAATGAAGGGTATATTGGACAAAACCACTGTCTACTTCACCCAAAAAAAAAGTAATTTTCCTAGACAAAAATATTTATGCTAAGCGCCAATTGTCGTGAGGTTTATGTTATTCCCTTTTGTCAGTTGCAAACAGTAAGTTACAAAAACCGAAGAATACAAGTAGTGGCATTTTTTGTGTTCTATAAGTACAAGATGACTGTAAATTTTCATTCTCGTACTGTTATCTTTTTCTTGTTACTCACCACTTTTAAACTAAATGAGAGAACCACACAATCCCAAGGCAGTTGAACCTTGGTGGGAATGTTTCCTTCTAGAAACAACACTTTAGGATTCTATTTTTTCCTTTATTTACCATAAAAAAAATGGGACAAAAGTCGACGATTGAGATGATGTGAAATGAGAGACGTAGTAGGGGCTGTTGGTTTACTGTCTTTGTCTTGTGTTTTATATTTTTGTTTTTAATTTTTGTTAAAAATGAAAACAAAAATATGTTTGGTAACTGTTTTTGTTTTTGTTTTATATTAGTTATTTGGAAACAAAGACAAAAAAATGGAAACAAAAAAAAGATGTTTTAAGAAATAAGAGAAACAGAGACAACGCGCGCGCAAGAGCTGGGAGAAATTAATGAGATCCAAGCTTCGACTCTTCTTAGCAGCAAAACATATTGTTGAAGTATAAAAACCCATTTAATTCTATCCACTCTTCTGTGCAACGAGACTCTCAGTTCATTCTCCATCTCCTCTCTCTCTCTCTCTCTTTCTCTCTCTCATTTCTTGTATGTGCAACAAGACTCATCAGATTTATCTCTCGCCTCTCTTTCTATAACAAAGATAGAAGGTCTCTCTCTTGTCTGTGCAACGAAGACCCAAATGTCTGTCTCTGTCACTCTCTTGCCTAAGTTAGATTTGTTAGATTTGAGTTAGATTGTGGGGCTGTGTGTCGATTTGTGGGGGTTGTGTGTGTGTCTTTGTGTTTGTGTTCTCGTATGTTATGTTTACTTCTGTGTGTCTGTGTGTATTCTCAGTGTGTGATTATGAGTTAGGCTTGTGCATGTGTATGAGTTGGAGTTGGGTTTGTGTATGTGTATGAGTTGGGTATTTTCATGAATGTCAACTTGCTCTCCACCTATTCGATGAAATGTTTGACAGCAAAACCAATTGGGTATCATTCCAGCACTACAATCCATACCCCTCAAATTGAAGTTGTAATTAACCACAAGTGAACTACTTTGATTGTTTGGATGGAGTAGGAATTGTTACGGTTGCAACGATTGTACCAAAAGTGAACTGCTTTGATTTTTCTGGTCCTGTGTGCATGCCCAGTGAGGTTAAATGGCTTTGTTGTAGGACCTTAGGGGTTTGCCTGTTCTAAGGGTCAAAAGGGTCTTGGTGTGTGATGATAAGGGTTGAGTAATGGGTCTGGAATCTGGCTGATCTGGGTGCTGTGAAGTTGTTGTATTCGAAGGAACACTGAATTAATTTTCTTGGCTTTTGGGTGTTTTGATGGATTAAAGCCATATATGTGATGCAAATTGGTTTTTTCTCTTTGATTCTTGTAATTTTTTGATTCATTCAATAAAATTCCTCTTTCTTTAAAAAAAAATGTATCTATAGCTATGATGTATGTAAAGTATGGTGTCTTGGAATATTCGTCTAAGTTATTTTCTATGGTTAATGAATTATGAGTTTTGATTTGTATTTTATAGTAGGAAATATTATAAAACTAATAATTATAATATAACTTAAAGTAGCTACCAAACATGTTTTTTGTTTTTATTCTCATAATTTGATAAACACAAATGACTCCCAAACATATTTTTGTTTCAGTGTTTAACACAAAACAGAGACAAAAAATTGTCTCTGTTTTTTACTTTTTTGAAGATGCGAAAACAAAAATGTTACCAAACGATCTCGTAGTTTATCGAGTCTTTTAAGTATAATTGGCCCCGCGGAAAATGACTTTATTGCAAGAAGATGGAAATTTCTTCCAAGATAGAGAGCTTAACATTTGTTCTGATGACTTTTAATAATGAAGGCTGGGAAACGTACACAAACATGAATCACGAGTTGTTTTTTGTTGAGGTTATTGTTCAGATTCGTTTCATCGGACAAATCATGTCCTCACAAAATTACCTCAATCTCTTTTAGACTCATTTATAGTCGAGTTTATGTTATATTTGGCTCGCGTCATACATAAATAATGTACCTATAGGTGTGAGTAATAGAGTTTATGTAACTTGATACATTTATTATGCAAGTTTTTTTGTTTTTGAATTGACTTAAATGAGTCTGATAAATCATTAAAATTTTGACCCGAATCTGTTAAGATTAAATAACTTCATGTTGATTTTATTTTAATTGATTGATGGTGTTAAAAATTATCAATCCTTGTGCCCACTTTCAATTATCGGGAGCTAATTTAAGTGAAAGGGACTTAAAATTTGGTGCTCAACACATCATTCCCCAATAAAGCAATTTGGCTAAAGTTGTTGAACCAAAGTTTAAAGTACTCTTCTTTTGCTTTGCATTACAAATTTGCACCACAAATATATCTATCGACATGCCAAAGGGATCACTTGGTTGTGGGTTGGGCGACCTATATAGACCTCCCTTGTATTTCTCGTGTCACGGCACAACATGCATAATTGAGCTGCTTTTGAAATTTATTGAGTCAGGTTGTGCTATATTTAACTTTAATTGTGGGAAAATATACTCAATTCATATTTGAATTATTTATAATTATGTGAAATTTAATTAGCCGGTTTTTTTTCTCATGTATAAGTTATGTTTTGTGGGTTCATGTTAATTATAACCGATTTTAGGTTGACCCATTTATTTAATAGGCCTAACGAATCCATCTGCTTATCATCTAAATCTAAATTCGCTAATATCATCTCCAATTTATTCCAGACACTTATCCTGCCCATTACCTCCAACTCTTCACATGCTAATTTGTTTTCCATTGTACGTACTTCATCGAAATTTGGGAATTACATGATTGACTAATATTACAAATATATTCTTTTGTTGAATTATTCTATTATCTTCAAAAAATTTAGGATCATTTACTTG